ATTCATATCGTCCTTTCTTTCACAGATAACTAAGATATCATTCTGATATCTCTTACAAAGGGAAATATTTTCGATTAAGGCTTCAGCTAGATTTACAACATGTGACATGAACACATCTACTGATAATGGTCCTAACATACTATCCATAGCAACCCTTAAATGTGAACTGGACTTCGTCAGTACGTGATAGTAATTTAAGGTTGTTCAAAGATATGTAGTCACATAATATATCAATAGTCTTTTCCAAAGGTACATTTGTGAGCAAGGAATTCATGTCAAATAAACACATTTTCTCCCCATTGATACTAATATCACATAAATTATCGACCAATTCAAAAGAATCCTCCACAGAATACTTAAATAAACGTCTTCGGATGGGATCCAACAATTTTGTCAACCATTTAGTTAGGTTATGTGTAGGTGATCGACACATTAATAACATTGGGCGTAAAGGAATGCTCGATTTGTGAATTTCAGGTAATCCATGTAAATGAGGATACTCAGAGTCGATTGGTTTTAGAACATCGAGTTCCTCTTTGTCAGTAATAATCATGTGCAGCAGTTTTACTAGGTTTGAATTTATTCTCCATTCTAGTTTGCTAATATCTCCATTTCTGGTCTAGTTGACCTTTTATTTTTATATATAAAGGTGTCAGAGTTGTAGATATTTGAAAGTGAGGTCTACTTGATCAGGTAACAACCCATCAATGAGCTGGATGGCTTATTTTATTGATGTCTGTCAACCTATTACTTAAATTATGGACTTCGGTCATGATTGCAAGTTTGAAACCACATCACTCAAGTCTTTTCAACCATAGAATACTATCTCATAAACCCTGAGTAAGAAATCTGTCCGTCAGCATAGTTCAGAGAGTTAATTATTAGTTTCACTGACTTGTCATGTTCTATCTTCGTCTTACTTGGCTCTTTCCCGTCCATCTTCACTAAAGAGGATATGGGATCTAAACACACTAAGAAGGTCAGATGTTGCTTCTGAGAACATGCCTCTGAGAAAATGACAATAGATATGTGTTCTAAGATACAGTATATGACAGAATATTAAAGTTGGAAATTATGGGGCAAGTCAAGAACTAAATGCTAAGCTACCAAGAAATGTCTGTCCGGAAGACGTCGTGTAGTGGCACTGATGTGTGGGGTAAGGATGATATTAATTTGTTGTTTGCTTAGTCAGACTTGTAGATAGTCTGACAGGTGTTAGATAAGTTATATACTCTCCTGTCCGTATTATTATTGACTGGTTTTTGGTGTAGAAATATATTTACGTTCTAGTAAGGCTAGTCACGTCTTCTTGATCTGAGTTGTATTGAAGTCCTGCAGAATAGACACTCGGAGGGTATCTAGTGTGATATTTGTCTCAGGCAAATTAACATCCCATTCGTAAACACGAAGCAAACCGAGCATTATAACAGGCACTCTCCAGTACTACTAACTTATGGTGTTTCTATAAGGATTCTAAAACGTGTTATTGAACATTATCTAGTGCATATATTGATTGAGGTCTGGAAAATTGTCATCATAATACATTGCCTCTAACATCATCTAACAAAATAAGACATTTTTGGTACTAGAGGTACATAACATGTTCGGGCCAGTAGACCATATCTTACAAAATTATTACTCCCGATACACTTGGTCGAAATTCATTCTTGTATATAACTTCCAAGACTATAATCAGGCTTCAATGTAATTTGCAAATAAGAATTACTAGTTTGATGGTCTTCGTTACAAAACACATTAGTGAGCATTAATTACCAGAGTTTTTTACGCAATCTCAAACGCAGCGGAATACAAATGTGATGTAGCAGAAACACTGAAATGATAACGATAATGTGCGTAATTTCCTTGCATCATGCTGTGCTCATAACAAACGTGAGGTACTGTGACATGAGACACACAGTTATCAGTGGGTATCGATTTCCGTTGATGACTTACGTTGTTATGTTTCCAGTGATTTATCCGGTTGTTGTAAAGTTAGCTTATACACCAATCAACCGTTGTTATTATCGTAGTTCATTACCATATTTGTCGTCAAGATACGATTGCAAAAACGATTTGTTTTTGGCAAGCACCAACGTTACAAATATCAACTTACATAGACCATATTGCTATCACCCATCTTTGAAAATTGCTGCTCTTTCTGGAGCACATGTTAGACTGTTTTTCGCAGTACGCGTTCATATGGGCCTTACTAAACTCATAAAAAAACAAGACCTTTGATCTTAATTCGAAGATCAAAAGTATGCGTTATCTAAGTACTTGGCCATGTTTATTCTGATATACATTGGTCTATAGCAATCATAAAAGACTACTAAACTTGTAGATGCTCCGAAATCTACCCCAACGAGCTTTAACAACAAAAAGAGAACGTAAAAATGGACTTAGTCTACGTAATAATCAGTAGTGAAATTTATCGAAAGGCACAGGGGCATCGTTGACATCTGATAACTGTTTAGACTAGTGAGAGACTAAGATTAAAGAATGGTAGTTGTTTTAGTAGTAAGGCTGGCTGAGATGCCAGCTAAGTCTGATAGCTGAAGACAATTCCGTCATGCTGGGTATGAACACTTAGCATCCTTGTTTTTGTAAAAGACTAATAACCGTATAGAAATCAGTCTGACTAATATTCTAAAATATTAGCACTCACAACCCGACACTATTGGTGCTGGTAAGTATACAAACTGGGGATGCCAAGCAGTTGTAAGACCTAAGGAGGGATTTGTAAAAAAGATATCCATTTTATTTTCGAAGTGTAAATATACTTATTGATGCACTACCGTAAACTGTTGGTTCAACTACCTCAGGTGGTCGTCAGGACTGGTGGCAGTGTTTATCGTTCAATGTGTACCGAAGCGCATAAACTTTAGGAAGGTCCTTTACTCAGTAATCAGTGGTCGGATTAAATCTTATGGCCAGCCATCGCGCGGATTGGCAACCTACAGTGAAATTCGTCAGGGCTACCCACTAACTAAATTCTCACATAGTTTCGTCACGTATCTTTCTAGAAATAATGCTTTCTAACTTCTCAGTGATTGATCTCATACCAAGAGATTCACTCATCGACTTGGACTCGGATGAAATAAATATATTTGATAAGGAAAATAACAAAATGAAGCACTAAAACAGCCCATGAAAGTAAAGGACATATGTAAGTTTCAAGTATTTTATTGGTGTGTGCAAAGCAATGTCGGCTTGATACTATGAATTTTTATCGGTTGAGGTAGTCGATAAATGTTACCGTTACCTAAGGACTTTCTGCCTCGGTGTGTATTGTTGGCTGACGCAAGAGTAGGCTGGAAAAATACCAGTGTGTGACACCGGTCCACAAAGTCACTAACAAGTGGTTCGAGCAATATCGCAAGGTGCAAATTTCCTGGTTGCAACAGTTGTAAGTAATGGTTGGGAATGACGCGAAATCTACCGGTGACCCAGTTTTACTTATTCGATACATCCTCTCAAATGTTGAGTTAAGTGACCAATCCTAGCTTATTACTGGCTCAGAATTCTGTCAGTTAAGAAAATTTAAATCCAGTTAGTACAACTGAATGAATATCCTAATTCTGAATAAGTTTGCATAAACTTACATACCTCAAATAGAAAAGTATTATAGACAGTAACATTAACATAGAGGACAAGACGTGATAGATTTTTTAGATGAGGTGTAAAGTAGTTGAATGGTTGTTGCTTGAGAATGTACGAATATTGATGAGAACTCCTAAATGGGCAGATGTCAAAAGAAAAAAAAATTTTCAACAAACCAAACTTTGAAATGTAATATATTCCGTGTAAAAGTGAACATAAATATGTGGTTAAAACATAACTCTTGAGATATGGGTTTTGTAAGTTTAGACGGTGCTTCCTAACTAGTTCCGTCTATGTTGTCATTGACCGTGGTCAACACAAGTAGAAAAACATATATTCAATCACCCATCACGGCATGTGAAATATTGTCTTGTCTGTGAACGCAAGCACGATCGTATAGAATGTAATGGTTTATGTAAGTCTAATTTCTTTTTTATAGCTTTAAATCAACACTAGCATCTTGGAATATTCATCTAATCCACAAAACGGATATAAATTACTTTTGCTTCATCGTAAAATAGTGTAGCTGTGTGTGATATTCTAGGCATTTGGACTCCATTAGTTTTGGAGAATCTGAATGTTTAGATCTTATCTTGATTATAGCTTAAAAGAATCTTGGTTTAATGCTCAAATGACGCAGTAATACTACAAACATAACACATGGAGTTTTTTGTTCATTAATTTAGCCGTTCAACTTTGGTTAGTAGGTTACAAATTTACATTCTGTTAAACGCGATTCGAGTAATTTTCCTAACGAATGGGACACAGTACGAGGGTCCAAAGCCAATAATTCTGATTGTTATCATTTAGGACTTCTTTAATATTTTTGGCTAAATAGTCTCAAAATATCCAGTGCATGTTTGCATGCTAATGTTTACAGATTGCGAATTTTACAATTTGTTCAAATTTTTCATAAACGAATTTCTTTTGAATTATTCTTTACTAAGGAATAGAGATTTCAAGAATACTTATGGTTTTAAACTCTTCCTTCATGTGATTCTTAATTCTAAAAAAAGAGGATGATATTTCAGTTAGTGCCACAGTAGCACTTTTACTTGAAGAAAATTTGTTAGTGTATTACTTGTCAAAGAAATAAGTAAGTACGCAGATCACACTCCCATCATTGAGACAAATTACACACACTAAGTCGTAATGATTTTTAATCGTGATTGCAATAAAATTCATCGATAGTTGAGAACAAACTGAATAAATAAAAAAACATAGGAAAGAAAATGTGCACAAAAGCCAATTTCCTATGCAAACAATTCTTCAACATTGTCAATTTAGAAAAGGATAAGTAATAACGACAAGATGGTTTTCAAGAGTAATCACAGTTAACTTTATATTGAGCACTGAGGTGTTAATGTTTTGTTACATTAGCATGGAGAAGCTCGTTCAGTCTAGGCGATCAAATTTACTGAGCGAGATAGATGTGACCAATAGACACTGAGTAGGCAATACAAACCACTAGTAGCCATTACAACAAAAATGAGTATTTGCCAGTGTAATAGTAGGTAAGTGCTATAGACAAAAGCAATTCCCGATACGATAGACTAAAAAGAAACAGGATAAAATAAAAAGTATAAAACATTATATATATATATATATATATATATATATAGGTTTTGAATGAGTAAGAAGAAAAATTGTACAGATCCTATATTACCTTCAGATTGTCAGAAGGGGTTAATTCTTGTTTACATTAGAGTTTAATCATCAGTAATTAACAAGTAAACTGTTAGTGACTTATGAATCAGCAACATCTGTTGCGAACTGATCATTTAAACTTAGTAGGCTCTTGAGTAAACCTAACTAGCGAATCCTTAGTAGGACTAAATGTTCATACTGCCTATTATTTAAAGGAAGCATTGAGCAGTAGTTTACAGGATGTGTATGGTTATAACCTAACGTATGTTAGTCAAGTTAGAAATAACTAAAGTTTACGATATTCTAATAAAATCGAGCGTGAACTGCATTGTGCACTCAGTAAAGAATTACACTATAGATTGACCTCTAACGAAGTGACTTGCATTCTTGGTACTAGTGTTCAGAGTATGATGACTGATCCATTTCCTAACAACTAGCGCTGATAGGCGAATTCAGAAGATCCAATATGCAGCTTTTATGTAAACATTTGTTCTGGAATACACCTAGTTCTTAAGTTATCCTTGTTTGCAGGTTAAACATAATGGTGAAAGGGTAATGCCAAGGAAAAACAATACAGTGTGGTCACACGACAAAATACGTAGACAACCAGGCACCACTTATATGGCTAACCAAATTACAGGTATACTACGCTACAATAAGTGTTGTATTGGAAGAAGATTGAATTATGGGTTACTATCGGGGACTATTTGTGGACTGTTATATATATATTCTTATAATATAACTACTAAGTAACTAGATTATATACAATTTATATTTCTATTATTATAAGTTTTCATTTGATTTCTTGGCTACTATTATACGATTTATATTCCCAAGTTATTCCCAATACATTAGTTACAGTCTCTCACACTCACAGTCACTTTTGGCTTCATCTTGTATCGTTGCTATTTATACGGTTTACTTATGTATAAATTACGTATGTTTCAAACATATTATTTATACAGTGGAGACTGAGGTTGGGTTCTGAACTCAACGGGGAGGGCTGAGCGAGAAGGACTAATAAGGATTCAGAGTTGACGCAAGGCGGTTAGTGCTGGTTGACGTGTCACTGGTTTAGCACAAGAACAAGGTCATATAAGTCGGTATTCTGATAGGCAATTTTGTCACTTGATAATTGACAGGGGGAAAAGTTATAAGAATAAGGAATAAATTATGTATTTTATAGCCTTAATAGTTAGACAAAAGTATGTACATATATACTCACTTGAACAGATTTGAATAAAGCAAACCCAACTGTAACATCCCTTCCATGTTCACCATAAATGAAACCAATTAAAGTAGAAATTTGTGTGTTCCACACGGAATCCACACCACCAAACAAAAATGCTATGAGCATAGCCAAATAGACACTGATAAAAAGATATGAACAAGTTAACTATTTCTACGTCAAAATTCGACTGGACTATGTTAAAAACAAGATATGCACCGAATATATAAGAGGACGTCATCACCTGATTCCATAATGTTTCATTATGGCTAACTGCACGTTGTAGAATACACGAACTACTCACTAACGATTTACTATGTGGAAAATAGTCTTACCACAAATATTTGACAGAGATTCAATACCACAATCTGAATTTTACTGTGACAGCCTGAAATAACTGATATATTATGCCGTCGTCTTATTCCAAGTAGAATAAAAGGAAATCTGAATTACATAATCAGTTAGGAGAGTAGTGGAACTCAAAAAGTAAAAGAATTGACCTATTGGTAGATGGAAATTATGGTTACAAGAAATGGATGAAATCGGAAAATGAAATGTGAAATAGTGTTATTTTTCAAAATTCAGAAAAAGTTTACGAATGAATGGAATATGAACTATGTCACTATGGTTCTGTACGACTCAACCAAGAAACTTGTATCTTTGGTCTGGCAGTAAGTGATTTGAAAAAATGACGTCTAACCACGTAATACTTTCACTAAGTGACATAAAACACTAAGATAGATAGAAGTCGCACACATGTAGCACATTCGATAAAGTCTCGAAACACCAACTGATAAATGAACTTTTGTATTCGATACGTAATATCGTAATTTCCATTATGTTGCATCATCACAAGCAAACATTATTGTGAACAAGGTGTGTAGATGGTTTTCATTGTCATTTTTATAATTAGCGGAGAAATAATCTTAGTGTCCCACTGACGCCAAAATCAAAGATACTACGATGAAAAGAGATTTTCTCAATGCTACAAACAGATATTAATGAGCTTGAGCATGAAGTACAAACTGACTACTTTCTGAACATTTCTGACACAAATTCAAACCGAAACAACGTAAACGGCTACGTCATTTTTATTTAGCTCAGCGATGAAATTGCATCGATTAATTAAAGAATTCAGTCAATTAAAATCTCACTGGTCTTCATCTGGTAGTCAGTTGGTAAAGAGGATTAACTTACAAAAGACAAGAAAAAACTATAGTGAATTTAATTTGAACTTGCTTAGGAGTAATATAAGACAGCTCATCCGTATCTTTTATAGAACTGTTTGTTGGTAACATCATGAAAGTGAAATAGCCAGCTACAATTGCACTGATGTAACCAAAAATAACTAGAACTCCTTCTAAACGAATCCACCGAGTTAAATGTGAAGAGAAACTACCTGCAATCAATGATATAAATAAAGTTTTTTATTACTATTTCAAAATACGACAATTATATATATAATTGGCAGTACTGACTAGTGTTGAAGATCGACGGAAGAAAGTTCCGGGCGACCAAGCGAAAACGTAGCGTCAGTTTGCAAAGTCACTAACTTCTAGTCTGAGCCATGTTAGTAGATGCAGATTACTTGGTTGGGGTCAGCCCGACTGTCGTAACCAGTGGTTGGAGACTCTGGGTGATATGGTTCAAAATCGATCACAATGGCGTAGGTGTATACACACTTTGTCTTCACTTAAACCATGAGATAAAAAATTACATACACATATATGTGCCTGGTCTTACGTTGTAGATGACTGACATATACAATTGATTCAATATAAGAAGTAGCCAATCAAGATTTTTAGGCTAAATTTACTCATGAACAATAATAAATACAGGGCAAGGTGAAGTATTAATTCATAACCAAGTGATTTACAATTAAGTGCCTTCGGTATCAAGCTCAAATTCCGCAGTGAATATAGCCCACAAATGTCCTTGTATGACTGAAGCTAAGGAGTGACTGTTTTCCTCTTGAAATCCCCCATGTGGTCACTCATTTATAGCATTTACAGAAGTCCTACTCACTATCTTCACATTAGGGGCGTGTTCGAGAAAGTGGTAGCATGAGAAGCAGACGTCCAGTCCTTAAGTAGAGTTGGTGGATATGAAGAGTTTATCTAGGAGAATCGGAAAACCCTGATCCCAAACCAATGGTGTAAATGTGCTGCGTCTAACAATTAATATGAGTAAGAGTTTGCACTATTCTTGGTCGTTATAAATCAATTATCGTATGACTGAGTTACTTACATGTCAAGTTCATATGATATACAGTGTGATCGTGACGTGACTCAACAGAATAACTTAGTATACTCAAGATTAGTACTACCTCGTATTTTATTATGACTCCAAGCCCTCTCCAAATAATCAAGAAGCAATAAGTCGTAGAGAATATATATATACGCCACTAGTGATGGTGATGTCGTAGGAAATAGATGAAGATTTAAAGAGTAATTAAATATGACATAAAGAAGCAGAGGGATTGGTGGATTTTAAAAAGCCAAGTTTGAGTTTTCATAAGCAGTTCGATTCAAGAATTCTAGCTTCGGCTACAGTTTTATAAAATAGCGCGCGAACGCTTAACCTCTAGACCACTGAGCTGGCATCTAATGGTGTTAATGTCTAACTTCAACTAATCTACGAAATTGAGCAACACATCCACCATTGTCTTCAGTGAGTTACTATCTCACTCACTCCACTGGTCACTGCTTTTCACTAGGACTCCAGGAAATACCTCTTGAAGCCAGTCACTAGCGAGCATATGCTAACTAGTATCAGAAGGGTTTTTGTGGATTTTATAGCAATTTCATTATTTGAGATCATGAGTCAATTGAAGCTAGACCACCATGGAAAACCTGGAATAAATGTAAGACAAACGGAATAAACTTAAAAGTACAAACATATTACATTACAGTTAATCATTCACACAGTGAATAAAACTTTTGTCAGGATAAATGAATTTTTCATTAATGCCACTAATATAATATAGATAAAAGAAATACGACAACATTCTTAAACTGTATTAATTAATGGTGAAGTTGATTATAAGCCTGATAGGTTGACTTTCAATCAAAATAAAAAATAGACATACAAACTACAACATATTTTATAATTGAGGCATAACAATATGGTTTTTTTTAAAATTACGTAGATCCTCTTTAACTGTTCATAACTTTATTTTTATCGATATAATTTATTTCATTTTAGTTTTATTTAATTATTTGTTACTAAGAATATACTGTTGGGCTTATTATGTTACCTTTAATTGATGCAACGGTTAAAATTCGATGTAAATGATTCCAACTATTTTACACTAATTTGTTAACTCTATATAAATCATAATCATTTACATTTTTCATATCACTTTTACTCGCGTTAAATTATATCATGCTATTTCTCTATTTGATCAATACGTTGTAAGCTGTGGAAGAGAATCTATAAAATATAAAGAACTGATATTAATTCTGCTTTAATTATTGTTCATATATTATTTAGGTTTATAAAGAGAATTACTTTGTATAAAATAAAATAAGTGAGATTACTTACCGACAATTTCTCCAATCCCAATAAACAGGCCAGCTAATCCAATATAAGACTTTGCATTTCTACCGAAATGTAAACAATGTCCTAACGCAGAAGCATATAGACTTGAATAGAACGTCAAATTAATACCTAAAATAATTTCAGATTATGGTACGATAAATTGAAGGTATTTTAAGGGAAAAATGCTAAATAGGCATCTCTAATTACATTTTTAATGTTGACCGTAGAATATTGGCAAAACATCTCAAAGGGAATGTCGGTTGATGGCTAGATTTCAGTTGTGAATACAATCAAGCTGGAGACATAAAGGTGATGGTGTAGTAACATATGGTTTTAGAAGTTGGCATATGAAAATCTTTCAAAGACTATACTTTTACAACTATTCTATCCTTTATTCTTGCTTTCATGCAGTAGGTGACTGAAGAAGATTCCCTATTCAGCAATAAATGTATACCTATGATCCTGACGGATATCAAATTCAGAACCTTGGAGTTTCACAGAGAGTGAGTCATTTTTAAATCACTGAATCGGAAACCAACTCTATAGTTTCAACTTGAGTTAATTCACTGTGTTTACTACTATTCGAATAACTTACTCCCAACATGGTTGAAATTCATCTGCGTTTAATCCTAAAGTCCTAGAATATTTGGCCGGAATGCTACAACTGTATTATGTTAAACGTTTCTCAGAATTTTCATTTGGTTATTAAGTTAATTCTCTGCATGATAAATTCTCTCCTAAAAACACAATATTTTGATTTGTCAAGTGGCAAACAATAACTAAATGTTTACTTTAATTGATAAATACAAAAGTCGACAGTTGAACAAGAAACTTACGCACTTGATAAAAACATTTTATTAAAGAAGCCCATCGATGTGAATTCCTTCGACTATTAACGGCGCTTCACGAAATTTGATTTGACTACATGGGAGATGGTGTGAAGCCGAATTTAATATCGTGTTTCTACTAATAATGACACCTAGTTTGGTGATTTCACTATGGTGCTATTACGAACTTATAAGGTTGGTGATAGGACAAGATACAAATAAAGAAAAAATTATAAACCAACCTAAAGACCACTGATAACCCCATAATGTTTCAGGAAATAATGACAGGCAAGTAATCACAGAGTGACTGCAGAGGAGGAAGGCTGAACTAAGGTACTGAAGGCGCATAAAGTATTAGGAATCAGTAATGCCTCAGCACATCCTTACACAACGACTGGTTAAGTGAGAATAGATGAGTGAAATTCATACAATTGAAACCATTAGTTTACGCAATCCTGGAAGGGCAATAATATCATACGTGAAACATCCAGATATCGGGTATTCATAATTTAATTATGTGTCATTGTTAAGTTTATTTATAGTGAAGACTTCGTACAAGAGGAATAAGCGTCAAGGATATCAACCGCTCTGATTTGGTAAGGGAAACTGGTAAATCAATATAGCCAGTGTTAGGGTTACTATGGTTGTTTAGTAGTACGATTCGTTAGCTCGTAATATGCATCTTATTAGAAACCGTAAATTGTGACCGTTGGTTAGGTGGTTTTCAAAAGAAATCCTGATTAATGCCTAAGTCACATGACTATGAAATATTAACGTGTACGATGCAATACGAGAATAACTTGGGTGTTGTCTGTTTCCGCACTTAGTACGTTTAAACTAGATGTAGTGAACTAGGAATGTTGTTAACAATTGTCTGACTGTTAACCAAATATTAGACATAGCTACAGAGTGACAGGAGTTATAGATGTACAGGTATAAAGAATCACGTAGGGCCCAAGATGGGCCTCCATAGTCTTTTTGTTATGTCATCTAAAGAGGTTTCACTCTGTGTATTCTGGCGTTATAAACATTTTGAACCAGTGATTAACTAAAATAATACAACAACAGGAACATATCGGAATGTCATTAGCTTCTATTGGATATGGTCGACTAAAATTTGTTGATCTTTCTGAAATACTTTCTAGATTTTGCTCACAAACTATCCAAGGCGCAGATGTATTCTTATTGAAGTGGGGACAGGAAAAGTAACTGGAAAACCTCTTCAGACTAAATTAGAAAATAAAAGTGTCAAGGAAATATTCAAACGCTTAACTAACTGTATAGTTTTCGTAGAATTTAATCGTTTGCAATGTGAGTTTAAACAAAAACGATAAACAGTATGGTTAGAAGCCTACACAACCGATGAATTTAAAACGCAGAAGATCACGTTATGTTACCAAGAAAGAAAGATTAACATTTAAAACTTGCTAATACACCGAACCATTATAATCCTACAAAAACAAAATACAGCCGTAAGTTAATATCCAAAGTTATATAACACTTATAGAATTAACCAGTTTGAGTAATTCAGATATTCACATTAAATATATATGATTACAGAGTTGACTGGAAAGATTGTCTTTGGTTCAGTGCAATAAAATCTCTCTGCTAACACCATCTTATAAAGTATCTATGATTGTTTTAAGTAATTCCTAACATAACATAACGAGTACATGTATACACTTATCATTCACTACTTGCTGTTTTGTTGAGTGTACGTTTGAAGTATTTCAATATCTGAAAAATTCTTATACACAGAATTCGTGAATATTGTAATTTCTGATCACATAATCGATGATGAACATCGAATAAATATAGGCGTGTTACCTTTAAAAATCCTCAAACCACAAGAATGACGTTTATTTAAAGGTGGAATAATTCATTTTTGAGGTAATCAAGTGGTAATAACATTTCAAATATCAAATTTAAAAAGAAAGAGCAACTAGGAATCAGGAAATGTGAGGGAGTTGTGTTAGACATAAATATTAACAATTAACAAAAAGGGATTAAGGGCTATGTTCCAAAACATAAAAGAATCATACATATTTAATGAAGGGAATCAAGATATTCAGTTGTAAATGGAAGGACGAACCAACAGATCTAAATAGGAAGACAAACACGTAGACTGGCAGAGAAATTTCCAAAGCTTAAAAAGGTTTTAAAAACGTTTTTAGATACTTACAAATAGTAAGTAACAGGCGGTAATGCACAAAAATATGAAACAAGAAAAATTTAGTTAACAATTAAGGTATTAATTTTATTCTAACTTACCAGTAAATGCTGCTGCTACAAGAATGCAAATCATTGGTCTTGTGATTAGAATTTTAACCGACCTACCTAGAGTAGCATATACATGTGTATAGTGGGAGAAAGGTTAAGAACGTAAATTTAATGAAGGTAATGAAAATATTTCGTCGTAAAGATAGATTCAAAACCCTGGTTACTACATTATGTACTAGATTTTCATGGATTTAAATTCCTCACTTGAATTGGACGGGCACAAAGAAAATTATGAACTTGACATTTGAGAAACTAGGCGAACCACAAGTTTAAGTATTGTTATTGTAGAGCAAAAACTCAAAGCTTGAAATGTTTAGGAATGGCTGGTTTTGGATATATTTTGCCTAATTATTAGTTGATTTAACTAGATATGTATCAATATTATAACTTACAAACACATCGTGCTTTACGGCTATTTCACTCTTTTCACTTGTGCCTTTTTGTCCCAATGATCCATTGAGAATTTCGACGTTTCTTTCTTTTTTTTCAATGATTATTTGTTCTAATCATTGACAAGTGGTCCAGAAAGCAATTAATAAGAATTGATTATTTTGTTGTGTTGCAAATTGCTTGTTAACAGCTATTAATTTGTGTTGTTTTCTCCAGTCTGTTTTCTTTGGCTGTTGCCCAGTCGATGGTGATTCTTTCGAATTATATGAGAGCCTGAATGGTACATCCGAAGATTGTACTAACATGGAGTGTTAAAGTCGAAAAACGTTATTTAATTCCAGTTAACGGTGAGACTATAATTTATGGACGACGTTTAAGCGACGCTAAACTGACCTTGAGAGTGTCTATCTAATAACTAGGACCAAAAGAGGGTTATAAACCAGTGTGGGGAATTAGAATTATGATTTACAGTTGATGGTTTAGGTTAGGTATTAGATCTAGGGTTTTCATTACAAACTGACATCAGCTATATTGCCAAAACTCTATTTAGCCAAATGAATGGGTGAATTTCGCGGCAAAATTCGAGACGTGATTTTATATTTGATTGGTTCGTTCATAAATTATAGTCTCGCTCATTTGTTTACATAGTATCACAGTTTAAAAATAGTATTTGGAATATACTGATCTGATTATCGAATTTCGGTTGGAACAAATATCAATTCATCGTATTCCGGTTCTGAGTTTTATGAACATTACTTTCCTTGATGTAGATAATCCTGAATATAATTTACAAACAAATTTTTATTGGTCTTTTATATGATAATACTACAGAAATATGAGATATTCCAAATAGCCTTATCATATATCAATTGCGCAATTAGCACCAAGTTCTTATATTGAAAATAAGTCAAAGATAGTGAAATTAATCAATTCATACATTATAGGGTACTTATTGAACAGAAAACATGGGACTTATATAGGCTTGATTAAATTTATGGTAGGTGAGACACTAATATTGGTTACTGAGGTCTAGCTAATCTACAACTTGTTCAATAATATGCATTACAGAATTAATTTTTCTAGATGTTAGAACATATGAATACTGTGGTAATATCTGCCGCACACATAACAGGTTGATAGATCAGTTCGACTTTAATACGTTAGTCTCACAAATACTACATGAATAAAAGTTTAACATTTCATAGTTGGAAAAATGGTCTTTGAAGGTTGAGGACATATGTATATTAACTGTGAGCATTTGGCGACAAATACCTTAGAAACATTTTTTATGTAGCAGAACCACCACTGATTGAATAGTTCAGAGGCTAAACACAGGTTACCATGTTGGTAGATAGTTGTAAACCTTTTCTGATTGTAGTGGTTAGGGTATATATGTCAAGTAAGCTCAGCCAATTCGTAACTCGACGCAATAATGGTTAGCATCAGACTAGACTGAAAGTTGGCTAAACGTGGTTCGAATAAGACATGTTATTAATCGTTGGCTGTTAAAATGAATTGAGTCAGGAGATTCAGACTACATGGTTGAGATATGTGCAGTAACCGTAATCTATCGATGAAGACCACGTAACACCGACTGGAATTGGTGGCAGTGGCATAAAATTTAATACCGCTTGAAAATTTTCATTTATTTGTTTTATTCATTGTTTTAGAAGTGTATTCTTTGGTCTTACTTCTAACTATCATAGATGTTGTTATTTTTACTTCTTCGTTTTTCATCATGTTAATTCCCCTTCATTATGCTGATGTGAAGTTTGACAACGTAGGAAGAGGTAAAATTGTGTCAAACGCTAAGTTGTGCATGAATAACTGTTAGCTTATTGTCAAGTTAGACTTTATTATCATATTCATTCAGTTAACAAAATACTATATCAAGAGTGAGAAGGCTGCTATTTTGAGTCCAAACATTATTTAAAATATAATCATATGATTTGGTTACCTATATAAATAAAATGCTTACTAAGATTGTCCCTAGTCATTCAGCTGGTAAAATGCAACGTAAAAACTACAACGAATCCATATTAAACTTGACGTCAGTTTAGTGGGAATGAATTAAAATGAGATACCACAAGGGTGTGGTATTTAAAATCAAAAGTAGATAATGTAATTCGAAAACAATATATGAAATAAAGGGCTGAAAATTATCAGTATTAACATCTGAAATTAAAGGGAAGATAAAGGATGGATGCAACCGTGGCACTGCCACCCATGTTGAAGCATGTAAACGAAGGTATCAGATAATGGAAACTGATCATCGCGCGAACCTCAACCGACAGAAAGTGACTTCAATGTTTGACCGTCCAAGCTGAGAAATTGCATCTTAATAGTCTTAGTTTATTACACTTTTCGATTAATAACTTTTATACGACAAAAAACGAGTTAACTATTGAATCATGTTAAAACAGAATAAAACTTACGTAAAGAGTGTAAAGTCGACTGAAAAACTGTCGAACGATTTTGTATTCTATGAATGAGAAAATATTTAGAAATATGGACTTTTAACATTTTAATTAGTTTCAGAGTGGAAAAAACAGTAATGATAATGAAGATTTAGTAAATACATTTAACAAGACTGTGTGTAGCTGAGTATTGAAAATCCGTGAGATGAAAAATAACTTCATTTTACTCCGTGGATTTATTAGATAGAAAATAAAAACCGATCACATTTGTCAAATTTTACCCATCTGATGATAGTTTTACCAATGTGTAGAGGTATAACATTGTGTTCGATGCACAGATATAACTCGATATCACAATTAGTTAAATAATAATGATAATTAATAGTAACGGTTTTCTTGAATGAAATAAAAGACTAAAACTCGCCCACTGTAATTTACTACCAATCTCGCAATATATTTTACTATTGCATCAAAAGTAATAATGTGAACTGACACTAAAAACCGATGTATGAAAAATTAAGTGAACATATCGGTTTATTTTACCAACTACGAGAATATGAGATTTATTAAATACAGATTGACAACCGCATCAAATGAACCATGTACCGGCCATAACGATTTTTTACCGCATAGAGTAACAAATAAATAAAGAGGAAACAGTTAATGAACTGAAAAATGACGGTAAAATAACGAAGATCTTAAAACGTAATGATAGTTTATACTTTATGGAATTTAGGAGGTTTAAGAGGATTAGTATATGGATCTTGACTACTGATTTTCTTCGGTCTTCTGGATATTTTCTATTAACGTCCGTTGACTATAAATTCCAGAAAAGTTACCGAGGATTAATTGACAAGAAATTTGATTTAAAACTTTTCCTTCACTGAATAATTCTAATTTAGTGTATTTTACTTTATACTAGCAGAACTAACAACTGCCCTGTGAAAAAGTATGGGAATTCAACGTACTCGGAGTTAAACTACACTTTGGGATTAATTGGTCATTTAATTTAGAAAGAAAGATTAGAATACTATCTTCTATTAACACATTTGCAATGTTTAGAAGATGAGTAGTAGATGGCTGCAAGAATGAAGACTTAGGTTCAGACCCTGTATGACTGACGGATTTTCAATTACAATAATGCATTGCAAGGAAAAAGTGGCAAACTGAATAGGTGAGAGGTAGCATCACAGAATACATTATTCACTGACAGTTATAGCTTCAGATAAATGTCTGTAACTTTACTTGCCTTACGGAATCTCACTTGGAAAAATGACGTAATTACAAAAATAAGCATAATAAATATCTCGACATAGGGAATGAAAACTTGAAAAAGTAAAATTATTGAAATAATAATCATTAGACGTAACGAAATACAACATCTGTGAATTGTCGTTTAAATATGCGAATAGTAAACGGGATATATGAGAGGACTGGAAAGAAACCTAGCACGATCACCTATTAAGTTTTATGTGATCACGGAAGAATCTAAGGCATGAGAAATTATTTTTGAATACAAAAACTAAAGCTGTCAGTTAGAAGCCCAAAAGCTTTTCCCATATATGAGATGAAATTGAATCGAACTGAGAAAATTTGAAGGAGCTTGATAAGTCGTTCGGAAAGGTATGGTTACATCTACCATATGATTACAACAGAACAAGTATAATAAAACAGAATTGTGTTAACTCAATTTGACCATTTCTAAACAACGAAGAGAAATGAATAATTATTGGCTAGGTCGCTCGGTAGTATACATGAAACAGCTCTCTCCAAGGGAGCAGTCCGACCAATTAATATACGTCGAAGTGACGAAACCAGGTTTCTCATTATTCCGCTGAATAACCACCACTGGTCGACTAGAAACTGGTAAAAATACATACTTCTACTTCCCGACCCATCTGCTTGTCTGATTAAGGAAGCCTTAAAGAAATGAAACTAAGTATCACTCTGTTTTTCATAAATGAAATCGATTACTGAGTGTATACTGATAAATTGCCTTAGGAGTTTCGCTGCTAATTTTCTGATCGAATATTGTTGATGTATAGACATTGGCATCCCCTTGAAGTTCATTTTCCATTTTAAGGGGAGAAATCGACTACGATAAGTCATAAAAATGGGTTCAATGGTTATTCCATCTATTCGAAAACTGTTAAAGATAAAACAGATCGTTATTGTACACCTTGAAAATAATGTCTTCCGAAATTCCAATACCAATCTATTTTTCTAATATTCGCTAAAATATGAATTCAATTTTCGCAATTAAGTGGTACATTGGTGAACAAGAAAAGGTTATCCATAAATATAACAAGTTTCCTGCCTATAATAAAATTACCTACATTGGGAAAAAATTTGAAAGCATAAAAAGCACCTTTTTTATCATTATTAATCACCCATAAATTGCCTTCATTGGTTTAATATTTTTTATAAATGCGTGTACACATTACTATGTACTAGAGGGAATACTGATGGCGATTTAACTAAAAACAATATTATTTGGATTTGTTATATTATTGTACACGTGATTTGTCAATATTTGAAATTAGTTGAGGTATGTAAAAAAAATTCACTCACGTTGAGTAATCTGGAGTTAATTCACTCAAGTTATCACCAGAGGAATTCATCTCCATATTAATTAACTGCTGGTGTGAAATGTTGTCTGTTTTATGAGGCTTTCTCAGCGTGAATAATAATAAAATTCCAAAAATAGCACATCCCAACAATCCACCATAAAGCCGAATACGTAATGTGCGAGAGATTTCATCTATATTCGATAGTGATAGGTAAGCGTACAAACCACCAACTATTTGACTGAATTTTAAAAAAAAATGTATACATTAGATTTTATTTTTAGACAAACAACAGGACAAAATAATCATTCAAGTATGCTTGTGAACTGGGTAATTTCAATCTTAATTAAAATGAACTGGAGAATCACTTAGAAACAAAATGCATAGATCAACTGTCGTATGTTATTGAAATTTAGTAGTACCTAAACAGGACTCATTGATTCATAGTCACGAGTTACGTCCCATCAAGAGCACGATAGCGGTGACGATTAGTCGTTTGACGTTCATTATATGTGAACCTCTACAGCTAGATATACTTAATGTAGTGGAATAAGGTTTCAACTGATATTCATATCTTTCGCTTCATATTTCAGAGCCTTGTCAAATATAAAGTAGAAATAGGCCTTATGTGACGAGTACCAGTTTTGATTAAAATGTTGATGTTTTAAGGGTTTAGTTAGCCAGTCTCCAAAACATTTCAACAAGGAATTGATGAGTTTGACTTAGCAGAAGCAACTACATTGTATGGTTGACCCAGATTATTTTTTTCAGAGAAAGTAACACTTAATAGCAAATTTTATCCTTAATATTGAGGGAACGATCCGTGAGAAGGCTCTGTGTAAAGATATCTCAGGCAGGCTGAGGAAATACAACCACCTATCACCATTACTTCATTCCAGTAATGGTGGTTAGGCAGAGTTGCTTAATTTCCATTTCTCTTTCCCACCGATGAGATTTTGGAGACATTTCTGATGGAAGTAGCTAATGGTGTGGAACTGTTACTTGGAGAAGGACTTTTGACCTTGAGTATTTGGACGACATTGTTTTACCATGCAATCATGCTCAAGTCATGCGATCCGCATTTAAGCAGTTGGTAATGACTGTTCGTATGTATACCATGTGCCGAGTACAGGTATTAAGTACTTTTACAAAACTGGTGACGGACTGTCAATGCACACAATCTTGGTATTAAGCCGTTAAAAATATTCGAAAAGTTCATATGTTTATGTAACTATGGACATGTTAGTGGTGGCGTGAGGAATAAGACCAATTTACGTATCCTGAAAGCCAAAACGGCTCAAACCTTATATGTTAAAGGTCGAGTGGAAGCAGTCTGCTCTACGCTTGTGAAATCTGGCCACTCCAAGTTGAAGATGTTAAATGAATCTCTGTATTCGATCACCTTTTTCTTACGAGGATTACTGGCATTTAGTGGAAACACTATATTAGTAATGCGGCGGTTCGGAGACGCGTATTTGGGCAGTGCCGATAATGAAGTTAGTGTCACCATATTGAAACACCGTCTTCGATGGTTTGTACATGTACTACGAATGTCATGCCAGCGAATTTCACATTACCTATTATTTACCGACGCTGGGACTGTCTGGAAAAAGCGGAGAATCGGTTGATTCACAAGGTATCGGGGTATGAAAGAAGGCTGAATCCAACTGAAAACATGTACAGACTGTGAAAGATATTTCCTGAGGCTAGAAAGTGAGTGGTAAACTTATCAAGAGAACCATGTAACCATGTACATGATTGAGTATTAAGCGTATCACCCACCTGTCGAGTTCGAAGTAGACAGAGCACCGTTCAAACACGGAACTAAATAACTGAAAGCCAAGTACTGAAAGTATAAGTAGGTTTGCAATGACACGTTTAAGTTGAAAAGATAGAATTTCGTAAGAAATCATAGACACAATGATAACACAACTTTAAGGTTCGCCTATCTTGCAAAAAGGAAATAACCACAAAAATGAATAAAATCGCTTACTTAGCTTGGAATAATCCCCAGAACAGACTGAAATGTTGATTTAAATTAGATTTGGTAGAACAATCGGTAATGAATGCACCTTGAGCAGTCCACAACACTAAACAGAGGGATCAAACAGACCACTTAATAGATAATTTCAACTCAAAAGTTTACCTGCTGCACCGATTCCATTTACCAAAGATGCCGAATACAGGCTCCACTCAAAGGGTTCAATATATGAAGCAATGTATAAACTGAAAGGAAATGACATCATCTTTGAAAACCTACGCATAACAAAATGAACCAGCGATCATAGAATATTTTTCTCCCAGATACATTACAACAATTGGTGCAAACCAGTTGAATAAACCAAATGAGATATACACAATCGCTAAGCTGTGACAATACTTATACATAAAATGGTATTTACCTAGTGTAACCTGTGCCATCAAAACTGTTGTTACGCTGTTTTGAGACAGCTTCCAAAACATTTTGCTGTGAAAAAGATGCAATTAAGTTACACGCACTAGAAAACAACTTACTGCAGTCAAGGATGCTGTTTGAAATGCAGCGAAAAGAAAGAAAAATGCTAACCCAGTAATAGTTACATTGCAAATATTCAAATTAATATTCATGACAATAGAAATTAATGTTCATTAAAGTTATGTGACGATAATAGAGAAAAAAGTGTCCTGCAAAACAAATATGAAAAAATAATTAATTTGTTGTATAAATAGTCCTGTGATGACTATAAATATGCTGTGGTTCATATTGGTACATAGGCAAAACTAAGATGTGAGTCACAAATTTACTTTTTAACGATACTTTGAGAGTAGGCTGAGATAAATCATAAGGACCTAAAACATGGTGTTTATGTAAACGGTAATATTAACAAGCTTCTACTAATCTGATCGATTAAGCAGCTTGTACTTTTACGGTAGTCAGGTTTATATACCATGGATTTTGATGGAATTCTCGAGCTTACGTGTGTTAAATAGCTTAAAATCAGAACTTACTAACTCGTGAGAATCCGTCAACTTTTTCCTCATCACGTCAACTAAGCGAAGCAAAAGTAGTGAGCACGAAACTCTTGGATCATAGAGACCATTTACGAGAAAGTGCTCAGCGTAGCGTACCTAAATAAAGTCACACCTAACCACATGTTGAAGTATCGGGAGACAGGTCAAATTCAACTGTACTGATCAACAACCCTGAGCATACTAATTACTTAGACATAGGTATAACTTAAAACAAGATTAGTATACTAAGATATCCCGAAGAACGGCTTTCATTAGGTTGCTAAGTCTAATTTCCCAAGGCATAATTAGTGTAAGCACAAGCAGTCCTGATTGCATGTTTTTAATGGGAAATATACTCAATCAACCCACATAATATTAAGCAAGCTAGTAAAGATTGGGAGAGTAAAACACTTGTTATCCCAGAAGCATGCGTCGTTGAAGAGCACTGGTCACTACATATGCATTTACTTTTGGTGTATTTTTTACTTCTAGCTCCGTAATTTAAAGTAACAGTCGGGTTGATAAATGAAAAGGGAGAAGTTGAGCCACTGTAACCATATTCATGATGCTTGTCAAATTTAAAGCTAGTCTTAAAATGACTCTATTCAACGAACAATACTTTACATAACCGAATAAAATTGAGGAATTATGGGAATTTAGTTGTTTAATGTTAACGGTGATGTGTGGAGTGGTGACCTAATATATATATATATATATATATATATATATATATATATATAGAGAGAGAGAGAGAGAGAGAGAATCACACCAAACGATTATACTTATTGTCGTCCGTAGCAATGCAAAACATCAGGTTTTATGTAGTAAGTACTCGGTCAGCGACTTGAATAACTATTTTTCATGGCTGGAGGTGAATGGTCCACAAGTTAGAAACAAAAAGAATAATTAACGAAACATGTAAGCGCTTACGTTCCAAATCCAATCAAATGTGAGACGGTTGTAATTTCACTATCCAATATCATTGAGATCAGGAGTTGTAAACCAGTTGATTTATTTGAAAACCTATCTTGATAGTGATATACGGTTTCAAGTCAATGATATCATTCCATCTGAGTAGTCTGGTTACCCAGTTACAGCAACTTCCGTGAACTTGGTAGTTAATCGTAAGTTATCAAATTTATCCAAAATCTATGTGACTAGCTTGCGTAAGCCGATCTATACGTCTGAAAAAGACAACCTTGCGCTCCAACTGTTCTGTCCCACGGTCTGAATAAAGGCCTACTCGACCGCTAATCTGGTTTTTTCTATAAAAAAAACCCGCAGGTATCTGCCGGCACGAAAAACATTCAGATTTGGAGGTAATCTTGGTGAGAAAAAGCATGGGCGTGCATGAGTGTTTCGCTTGAGTTGCTTCGGGGAGCGTAGTGGTGATTTTCTGCCGGGATGTTTGTAGTAAAGTAACTTTTCATATTTAATGTACTGAGTGCCACTTTTATATCACATTTTTTCTCATGTAGCTCAACGAGAATAATCACAAGTATCGGGATCCGTGGTCGTCAAAATTGTTCCGTATCCCAAGTGCCTACTTGGTTATCCTTTTCTCTACTCTGTCTAAAGGATGCATGTCTGTTTTTAAGAGAGGGAACTAATGAGGAAGTGGGCTTTGTAATGAGGCTGAGTACGGTTTAACGAGTGTCGGAACGAGTTTCGGAGTGATAGCGCCAAGTTGTCTTCGGCAAATCGGTCGAGCTGTTGCCTTGAGGTAGCACACGCAGCACTTTGGTAACTTGGCTAGTTTGCAGTTGGGCGTTATCTCAGCTTTAAAGTGACTGTTGATGTAAATCTTTACTCTCATTTTATGTTTCGTGCCATATTTGGAGAATGTTCAATCCATTGCCCGTGACATAAGAGAGAGGTGGGCTTCAGTTAACACTAAGATTTTCAGCTTCATCTGAGAATACATGTTTTTAAGTCCCACTTTCTGCCTCTAAGTCACTTTACGTTATTGTATAGTCACCAGTATTCACCGTATGCGTGGTTTTTTTATAGTGATGTTTGTTTGCAAAGCCATATGTAGGGAGTGATTGGCTAGTTCTCATAGGACTAACCGAAGCAAGATTTTTCCTTGTGCGATAAGTTTGTATTCGAATCGGGATTACCAATTGTAGCGTGGCGTCGAGTTGAGATCAACTGTGAACACCGCTACCAAGAAACACGTGCCAATTAGATCAGAAGGCGTAAGAAGCTCGTTCCAAATGACTCCATAAAATCCCCGAGAAGCCGAATACCAGAAGGCAGTTAATGGACCAAGTCGAGGTTTATTTGCTGGCGATCTCGTGGCATCGAAAGGATACCGAGATCGTGCCAGGATACAAGCTTGGTTACAGAACGTAACCGAATTCGCGCGAAGTTACAATCAAAGTGTGGGAATAAGAATGGAAGTACAATATAGCTGTCATTAGCACAGTCAAACAAAAGCACGTTAAAACAAACACTGGTACAGTTGGTTATAATAATAATTGTTTTTATTAAACCAGTCGTGTTCTCGTGATAAACGTGAGTCATTACAAGTTTAGCTGCTGTGGTCTCGCTCTGGGTTAAGGTTTATTGTGAGAGGGCTATTGAGAATACTATATTGTTGGTACGTTTACAGTATATTTGCCTCAGAAATGGAGAATGACTCACATTGCACCTGATATAGCTGAGAAGGTCGCTTCTTACGTTATACGACGACTTGGTAAGTTTTCCTAAGTAACCATAGTCTGTACATTGGACAGTCATAAGGTGAAGAAAATTAATTAAATGCGTGGGGGATCAGATAGTCTGCATGTTTGACCAGTTTGTCTTGTATACCGTTGGAGTATGTTAAAACCACTGCCGTATTTCTTATCATCTACGAGAGCTTTGTCCGAGCTACATGATGGTCACTCTGGAGCCGCATACATCACTATGACATTGACCTCTCCAGTTATTTCGTTTGGTTTTAATACGGCTCCCCGTACCAACTTCAGTTTATCGTGCCTACCTCCAATGGCTGAAGGTTGTTTAACTGTTAATTTCAGCCCGACCCTTAATTGGGGCGGTTTACTTCTAGCATTTTAATCACGGTACAAATAGCAGAGTTTATCTTGGGTTATGACAACGTCAAGTAAAAGGCATTTCTAATTCAATGGCCATTTTTTGAAGGCATTCCCACACTTCATTAACCTATCCTCAGAAATCAAAAACAAAGAGAACCAAAGGATTTGACCTAGCGTCATGTGATTTAATCCTAATCTTTTAATTATTGCTCATTATGTGGCTGTTGTTGATATCTTATATTCCCTCTGAAGTTCCAGGTTCAGTGAATCTATAAGTAGAAGATGTGAAGATGCAAGACGTAAGGTTGTTGTTGCGTTGATGTTACTATATATATGGGTCTCAGGGAATGTTTTGATACTGAGTTTTCTGGCCATATATGTGGGATCATTTTCTGCTCCCATATGGCTTTTTCAGTAGGGATGGCCCCGTGTGACCTAAAAAGTGGATGTGAAACCGTTGTGTTTCATTGACTCATTGGACGAGACCTTACGTTTTTTGGTTTGGTGGTTGAGTCCACCCTGAAACCTGAACAAAAGTAATAGAACGACGGATATGGATGGATCACAATAAGTCTGTAGTACATCCTGGATATCACATTGTTGCAATAGTAGATTTAGCTTTTGCGAAGACTTCACTTATATCCAGACTCATTTGTTAAAACTAATGAACACCATGTGTATCAGCCATGGCTGTTGTTTCTCTCTTCTAATGCATATGATGTCGTCTATGACTAACACGTGAACGCCCTTTTTCCCTCTTCAGCTGATCGATTACAATATTAGAAAAAGGTCGAGTCAAATTAATGCCTTTATCATCCTATGAAAAGGCAGTATTATGTACCTAATTTGTGTTGGTGTTATTTCCCTGGGCACTGCCATAAAGTGTATTTTCTAGCTTTGGCTCAAGATGTTTTTGAAATTCTAGAGTCAAAACTGCGTTTCTGAGTTGTTTTTCCTTGCGACAGGGCTTCAGCAAGTAATCTCTCGCTGCTAGTATATTCGTGTCCAAAATTGATGAGGAAAGACAATGTATTAAACTCCTACCGACTGCCAAAACACGAGCAAATGGATGAGTAATAACACGAAGCAAATTTGTTCTTCACAAATCAGTGACAAAATAAAGGTTATTCGGCAAAAACTCCAGCTTCCATTATCTAAAGTTTACTAATGAGAACGTATATCATCCAGATTCCCTTTGGATATTTTCACTGACTTAGTGTCCCAATCAGGAACTTTGGAAATACCAGACGCGATACGAGGAACAAATTTGAAGATTTTGGCTCCAAAGAATGAAACTTGAATATACAGAATGATATCAAACTGCTGCCCCTTGAAAGATAGTGTGTGGGAATGCTCAGAAAGTGTAAACAAAAGTTGGAAACAGTCCACGCTAACTTTTGAACCCAAGTAGAGTTATAACAGATTGAATGAACGCTCACTTTTGAGCGTTCTTCCGTTAATGCTGCGTATCAAAGTACAAAGTTAATTCAGTTCATTTCATTTTAATCATTTAGAGCTATTTATGTGTTTGGTATGAACACGCTGCTTTAGCGCGTCCTAACTTTCCGGTCAGAGGAAAGCAAATAAAGTAGAACATAGAGCTTTTAATGGAGTAATTAGAGAAAAGTATACTTTCACATGCGGCAATTACTCACAAATTGAATGGTCAAATGGTAGATTTTGGACACATATTGAATATTTAAAAATGGATGGGCTGAAGATTCATGGGCATGTACATCGTCCATGTTGATCTCTGGATAGATTTGACTTTCGCGCTTGTACTATCGTAGATGTTTGGCATTTTGGGTGAGATTTGTAAAATGATTAGTCTACTTATAAATAAGTGAAACTGTTACAAGTAGTCGTAGTCTAAGCACATCTCGTTATTTTCGTCTTTCCGGAATTGTAAATGAAGTAAATCCGACCACAATTCATTGCAAGTAAGAATCTTGTTGTGAGGATGTCACGGAAATTTAGATCCAAAGATATATTTGGATATTGATCAATGTGTCGATGTTCATGCTGCAGCGGTAAATAAATCCCCAAAATAAATAGCTCTAAGTTTTCGACATTGGATGCTGACCATATGTTTTAGTGGACTCGTCTAGCTGAAGGCGCTCGGTCATGCTTCCGCACCAGATCACGTATGGTAACGCCGTGCTCAACATCAACCGCAATCGCTAGCCAGATTAGATTACAGAATTCCGATATATTGGTCATCGCCAAATATACTCTTCCGATCTCCTCGACTCTATCTTTTGATTTCTCTGGGTGGGAATGAATTATATTAGGTGTTACTGGTAAAAGCGTTGTCAAACACTGAATACCTGTGATATCATCAGTGCAATCCAAGTTGACTGGTTGTCGCGACATGTGTGCAGTGCTATATGCCTAAGCACGATCTGATGCAGATACGCAATGGAGCGCTTTCAGCTAGGGGTGTATCATGTAAAACTAATGTGGCCAGCACTAATATTGAAAACATGTGATGTATTTACTTTGGAGATTTATTTACCGCTCCAGTTGTCGTAAAGATATGTTTGGAGTTCACTATGAAGAGCGTGTAGCGGTAGTTAAATCCCCAAAATAAGTAGCTTTGTAAGTTTTCGACATTGAATGCTGACCATATGTTATAGTCTACAACCCTCAAGCTAGGCATAAAACAGATGGGAACAGGTAAGGAAACCTTACTTTGTGACACATCTACAGGTAGGGATAGCCTAGTCGTGCCGAAAGATCATCGACGCAATGCCTTCAATACGTTGCAAAAAATTTCTCATCCAGGTGTTCGTGCAACAGTCAAGCTTATAGTAGAACGGTTTTGCTGGCCTGGTATGAATAAAGACGTGAAGGAGTGGGCACGTTCCTGTGTAAGTTGCCAGAAATTTAAGGTTATTAAACTCAACAAATGTCCCTAAGGCTCTTTCAAAACTTCTGATGCCCGTTTCGACCATATGCATCTGGATTTGGTAGGACCTTTATAAGATTCAAATGGATACTAATAATGTTTTGAATTATTTGAATTATAGTACGAACTGAGAGTCCCAGAAATAACGCAATTGAATTAAGAAGTAAGACATAAACACAAACGCATGTACTGTATTTGGAATTCGAAATCGAGCATTCAACAAGTACAAAAGAATTATTAGTTAATTCAAACACCACATCCGCCACAGCTTAAATAGGAGTATAAGTGTCTGTAATCGGTTGTACGTCTTCTTCTTAAGTTCATCCTGAGTCTGTCCGGCATTGTATTGGATAAAAACTTTGTAGTATCTAGAATGCGCTCATTAGTATTAGAATTAACAAACGAAATCGGAACAAACTCACCTGGAATAGTATACAATCAGCATGTCGATTTTGTACCGAGATCATTAATATCTACAATTAGAACCATAGATTTTTCAACACTATCCTCCCCCACGAAATAATGTTGGATCTTTATATCTCCAAGTTATAAATAATGTGGCTTCGTTTAAAACATATTTCTCACATTGATTGGAGTATACATTGGAAGTGAATTTGTGATAAGGATTAACAGCAATCGATGTGAAATAATCTGAATTGTAATCAGAATGGAGCTTATTTAATACTCGTGCTTCGCATTGAACAAGCTTCCCACAAGAAACAAATGAATTATGGGGACAAATAATATTCGGTATGACATCAAGACTTGACTCTTCTGTAATAGTTTCCTCGAATTCATTAAGAATGCCATTGCAGATTAAAGGATCATTAGAAAAATCAGCATCTATCAAAAATACATCAGGTTTTTGATCATAATTATGTTCACTCAATATATTTTCTTCAGATTTGTAAGAAATTTCATCAGAAATATATGAATCATTAAGAAAAGCCATATTTGGTACGATAACATGAGAAATCTGATAAATCGATTGGTTAGAAACTGTTGTCTCGCAAGAATTCTGAGTTTCATTTAACTCTGAACTACTTTGTGACTCTACATTGTCTATTGCAATCGTTGATAAAGATAAATCATCATTATAAATACTCGACTCAGTAGAATCAGAATTACAAGTCTTAATATTAGTTGCAATAAGATGAACATTAGTATTACAGACTAACTGAATATG